CCAGCATATATAATCCAGATTCTTGCCATTAAGTAAAGCAAATTTATTTCTGTATAGCTGTGGCCATTACAAAAGAAGTTTGAATAGGATAAAGTATCAAATATAGTATACAAATAAAGCCGTCTTAAAACAACATTATCATGTGAAACAATTCAATCCTCAGTTAAAGCATGATCATTATAACTGCAGAATTTCTTTCTTAAAGACATGCTCTAAAAGCAAAGCTGGCTGCCTTTTCAGAAATGTATGGCACCTTATCCCACAATAGAAAATTTATCAAATATGCACAAGATATACCAAATGTGAGACCTAACTCTTGGAACAAAGCTACTCTCTGATCTTTATAGATTGGGCAGTCAATTAAATAGTGAGTTAGATCTACAACTGCATTAGTTAAACATGGGAAAACTCTTTCCTCCAAGGGAATCCGTTGGTAACGTCCTTCAACCACTGCAGAACACATAGACTATTAACTCCGCACTGTAAAAGTGTTTCTCCATTTAAAATGTGATTGTTGTTGTTGTTGTTGTTGTTTAGTTGTTTAGCCGTGTCTGACTCTTCGTGACCCCATGGACCAAAGCACACCAGGCCCTCCTGTCTTCCACTGCCTCCCAGAGTTGGGTCAAATTCATGTTGGTCGCTTCGATGACACTGTCCAACCATCTCATCCTCTGTCATTCCCTTCTCCTCTTGCCTTCACACTTTCCCAACATCAGTGTCTTTTCCAGGGAGTCTTCTCTTCTCATCAGATGGCCAAAGTATTGGAGCCTCAGCTTTAGGGTCTGTCCTTCCAGTGAGCACTCAAGGTTGATTTCCTTTAGAATGGATAGATTTAATCTCCTTGCAGTCCAGGGGACTCTCAAGAGCCTCCTCCAGCACCACAATTCAAAAGCATCAATTCTTCGCCGGTCAGCTTTCTTTATGGTCCAGCTCTGACTTACATACATTTATTTATTTATTTATTTGATTTATATCCCGCTCATCTGGTAAATCTATACCACTCTGAGCGGCTGGAAAAACCATACTGGAAAAACCATAGCTCTGACTATGCAGACCTTAATCGGCAAGGTGATGTCTCTGCTTTTTAGGATGCTGTAGAGGTTTGTCATCGCTTTCCTCCCAAGAAGCAGGCGTCTTTTAATTCTGTGGCTGCTGTCACCATCTGCAGTGATCATAGAGCCCAAGAAAGTAAAATCTGTCACTGCCTCCATATCTTCCCTTCCTATTTGCCAGGAGGTGATGGGGCCAGTGGCCATGATCTTAGTTTTTTTGATGTTGAGCTTCAGACCATTTTTTGCACTCCTCTTTCACCCTCCATTAAGAGGTTCTTTAATTCCTCCTCACTTTCTGCCATCAGAGTGTATCCTGATGTCATGTTTGTGCCACATCTCCCATTGACTAATAGATCTTTTGATTTTATTCTCTTCCCCATAGTTTTCATTGGTATAATTGGTTTGCACTATGAATAGAAATAGGTCAAATTGAAAATTAGTCACATTTTATATACTGTATACTAGGTGGAGCAGAAATTATAGCACCTTTATAACAAACCAAGCCTGTTCACAGAAAATTGACATCTTTAGGAGTCTAATGTGGTTTGCCTGGAGGGAAGCTCTGAGTTAGTGGTAGCACACATTTTGCATGCTGAAGGTTCCTGGTTCAATATCCAGTATTTCTAGGTAGATATAGGAAACATTTCTGTTCCAAACCCAGGACAAACAGTTCCAATCAGTGTAGACAAAACTGAGTTAGATGGAGC